TCGTGTCACAATGTTCGTTCCCATACTTCTCCGAAACGGCTCGACCGATTCTTATGAAATTTTTAATACATATTCAGTAAGTCTGAGAATCGGATAACATCTATTTTTCATCCCCTAAATGGTAAGGGTGGTCCCTTCCTTTAATTTTTTATGACATTTTTCAGAAAAAACTTTTTTTTTATGAAACAACATACAAAAATACATACAACCCCTAATTTTCACCCCTCTACGATCAACCACTATTTTTTATTATTGTAGATAGTTATTTTTATTGAACTAAAAAAACGTTTCCTCGAAATAATATACATGGCAAAACGTTTGCCTGGTCAGCTAGTTTTTTTTATAAAATGTATGTCCAATGTAATTGTGATGTATATTACTTAGTACCTAGTAGATTGTAGCTTATAGAAAATACAGTAAATATGATGTGGTGTACTTTAAAAAAGAAATAAAATAATAAGTAGTTTTCTTGTAATTACACTGGAATGATGAAGTTTGTTTCAATTTGACACAGTCCCAGTGACCCAATATAAATATATGTATGTTAAGAAACACCGAATAGATGCGAATTTTTATATTCACAGCTTGAATAATTCAAGATCATCAAGCCGACGTGAAATAAACAATAAACTAGACAAGTAGTTGTTTTTATACACGACACACATTACTCTGCGTTCCGGTTGTAAGCTAGCGCGATGACCCTAGCATCGGCGACGACCTAAATTAAAAGCGTTCGCGATTATCTAGTGTAATTAATAATTTTACAACGAAAATTCAAAAGCCTCGGTATACAAATTAATTCGAAATTAACCTAAATTTAGTTATTATCAGTCGAGACAGTTTAATTTTATAAACCAACGCAGTTACAAGTCTAAATTAAACCGAAAACTGTATTTTTAGTAATTTTGGGAACGACTAAAGATGGTTTACATTTAATAGTTAGAAGAATGTTTAATCTATTCAAGCCAAGCGGCATTGGCCCAGTGGCTTCAACGTCCGTTCGTTGACGACTTGACAAGCAATCCGAGACCCACTTAAAAGGTATGGTTTTTGGTGTGTATGAATCGCTTTCGCTTATAGTTTTTATTTCAATGTTAGGACAATCTGCAGAAATTGAACAACTTTGTTGACTTTTGGGGCCTCTTAGTAGGTAGATTAAAAACCTCCTCCATTTTATTCGAGTCGTATAGGACTTTTAAACAAATACAACCAAAGCAAAGTATTTAAAAACCAATGAACTTTAATCGCTTTTATAAAAGACAAAAATAGAACATATTATAAAGGGTACTGACATGGGTTTCGATTATAAAAGTAATTTAGGTATACAAAAAGCTTTCATGGTCACGTAAAAATTACCTCATTAAAATCTTTACTAAATTATAATACCCATCAGTCCAATAATGATGTCTCTTTTCCTCACATAGAGACAAATACAGGGTGACTCCAAAGATTAAGGGTGTGGTATCATGAATAGAACTATGTTAAACAATGTACAGTAATCCCGCCTATAACACGCTATATTATAACGCGATTTCCCCCTATATAACGCGAAGGTTTCTCAAGTTATATTTCTGTAGTGTGAAGTTTATAATGATTTGTCAAGTACATAATTAGATTTGCGTACCTTTGCGTCTGTGTCAATTGTGTTAAAAAACTAAATAAAAAAAAACTAAATAACTGTATTAAATTCGTGTTCCTTGTTTTTGAATTTTAAAAAAATCCTGTTTTACTCGAATACTACAACGTGACTTTTTATAACGCGGTCAGGATCAAACGCGTTATAGGGGATGACTAGATCGTTACCCAGATGGCAATAACAATCGAATTAGTTCTTCGCCACACTTAAGGACTGAGTGAAATTTGACCAGCAAGCTGTCACACAGCTGAAACAGTTTTTGTATAACTAATTGATTGTTGAAATGGAATTAATACAGTCGTTAGATGGCTGAATGCAATTAAATGCATACTTGTGTCCCGTTTCGCACCGTCGCGTCGCGTCGTGGTTTTCAAGCGAAAATGCGGTGAAACCGATCTAATGACGTGCTGTACAGTTTTTGTTGAGAAAAATTAAAGCAATTATTCGTAATTCTATTAATATTGTTGATAATTGAAACGCTTTATATAGAACAAGAATGATGCTGTTCTAGAAAGAAAACTATGTCTCGTGTGTGATCAAGCGGCACAAAAATTATCAGAAACTTTACTTCAATGTTAAGTTTGGTTCTATTTGGAGTTATTAAGAATTCGAACTGGTCTTTCTTCACATAGTCAACTATTATTTAATTATATACTAACACAGGTATTTTATATTTGCCAAATCTAACATATTGCGTATCTACTAATAATTAATAAAGATATTTTTATTTATTCTATAATTAAGATTTGTTTTTGCATACATGGGAATTGTAAACCTTATGCTGGTCTAAGTATACTGTTAAAAATGACAAGTAAACTACATTTCATGGTGTATTAAATTTGCCTTTTTTAAAATGAGTTCTTTGTCAAAAACAATTAGGGTTTTTAGTAATAAAATATCATGCATGTTGTTTAGTTTAATTCTTCTATTTAACAAAATTGAAATAATATTCTTTTTATTATTCTTGTTCTTTAAAAGAATTAAGTTTTTTTATATAAAGCTAGCTTAGTTTAGTGTTTGATAATTTTTTATTTAAATTACAAGGTTTTTTATAAATATTACTGTTTATAGATAGATGTAGATTTATATGGATTTTTATTAAAATAGCATGAGTGTTGTGTATTTTCATTCTACTATTAAATAAAATTGAAATTGTATAGCAAATTACAAATAAGACAAGAACATTTTAATAAGTATGTTTATTATTTGGTAAAGCTATCTTTCAGCTTCCCCAGTAATAGATTTACAGTTAGCTTTGCCGTATATACGGGATCCGTTGGTATGTTTATTGGTGTCTGTTTCCGGCATTTCTGATTACACCTAGGAAGTATATCAAACCTACAATTTACGAGTCGATTTAAGCGGTACCGCTATCTTTGATGATTTCAGTTTATGTCAGTCACAAATTTATGAATTATTAAATTTAAGTCTTGTAATCCGTAACATTTATATTTGAAATAATATCTATACAAACTCACTAATATCAGAAATACTGAATAGATTTTGATAATTATTTGACTAGTAAAAGTTATATATATATGTATATAATATATAGGATTAAAATATTTATTTGTATTTTATAGAATACGTATACATTTTGATTTCCATATTCAACTTCGTAATAGAGCTCTTATAAAAAAGCTCCGGTTACATTTGTTGTGTTAAACACGAAACCGTTTATTTAAGAACCAATCGAAATGTGGAAACGTTATTTAATGTAATTTAGTATCTAATCTGCTAATAAATTGGCTAATTCGTACACTTAGTGGAATGAGGCTTCGAGACAAATGTGTTATCGATAGGTGCAAGGTACCGTTACACTGTCGAGACTTCCAATGAACGTGACAAAATTTAATATGCAAAGTATAATATTCAATTTGTATGAATTCCAGATTTAATTTTGAGAATTGGTTGACTAAACTGTTTATGAGGCTAATTTTCTACTCACGGACTTTTAACACACACCGGTAAATATATATACATAATTATTAGATTAATAAAGTAAATAGATTTTTTTTGTAAAATTGGGTTAGTAATCAGACAACTTATAAATGAATGTGTTTCAGAATTGTGCCCGCATGAAATGTCAATGGAAAAATTGTGGCGTTATATATTTTCCTAGTTTTATATAGGTTAAAAAATCGATAAGATTTTTTTACTAATAACGAATCCATTTGAATGAATTTTTAAATATATAATATTAGAAAAATTTAATAGCACAAAGGTGCATTGCGTAGTGGAATAACATGCCCCAGTGGGATCTTATATCATTTTATTAAACTAAAAAGGCAATAAACAAGCTTTAGCCAATATACTGTCTAAACATATTTGTGTTATTTATAATATTAGATTACTCTTAATTTTCTTTATTATAAATCGATACTAAGGTGCAAAAAAAATCATATATTTATTATAAGTTCGATAAACATTTATACACTTTTTATTTACAATAAATTTTTCAAAGTGTTCCCATAAAACAGTATGTTATTCATGTTATCGTATTCGTACTAACTTAAGCCAAATAGTTGCCGTGAAGCTAATGAAATAATATATTTCAAATGCCGCAGTCTTCATTTGTTTATTATTTCCAAGTTATAAATTAGGTTTGTTGACAAATAGGTATTAAAATAACATAAACACACTACCTTTGACGGAAGGACTTAATGAGAAAAGTTTGATACGACTTCCATTTTGAGTGGAACTTCTGTCATCAACGTTTATTTTCATGGCTTAAGGATTAAGGCAACTCTATACATTAAAGTCTTTTTGCTGATAAGAAAATGTAACAATTTGTAAAAGTTCCGATAAAAATCTAGGATGGAACAAAAAGGAATTCAGGAGATTAAAAATTGTCAGAGATTTGAGTTCAATAACAATTAATACAAAATTACTTATAAAAATTAAAAAATAGCACACCGTACATACATGTATTTACGTATGTACTCAGGTATTAATGTCGTTACCATGACAAGTAAACTATTCATTACATTTTGACTAATGAGGTGTCATTGCTTGGGTGTTAGTTGGTCTTAAGTTTTCCATCTTAGATGACTTGTGTATTATAAATTGTCGTTTCAACAAAGCATAAATCCAAAATACGTAAACACTATTTTAGAGAACGAATATAAAAAATTAATTAAGTATTAAAAAAAATTTAATAGAGTTTTAATACTCAAATTATTTTCCCATAAAATTTAACCAAAAAGTGTCAGCAAAGTATAATTTTATAAGCTTTTATAAAATAACAAGTTTAAGAAAGCGCGTTTTATTTACTCCATTCACTTGTACGTTAGTTTGTAAGCGTCGAGAAAGTTTAACGCGGGAAATTGCACTTACCATGTTAGAGAGCAGCAGACGCTGGTGCTTAGCGACAGGGTCTAAGGACTGTATCGGGAAGGCGACGGGCAGCGGGATGGGTAAGGGCAGAGGAAGTGGATGTTGCAGGAACAGCGGCGGGCAACAAGTACACGGCGTTGCGTAGGACACGCACCCAACCGGCTGCGGGAACAGCGTGCCGAGGGCCTCCTGGAGGCCTGCCCGCTCTTCTTAACACCGCATCCGCGGCCCACCACAACTTCGACGGAAACGCCGCCGTCCGAAAGCAAGTTATAGGGAATTGTCGAAAGCGAGAACACGCGTGAGGAGTGCGCGGAGCACAAGTCGCCAGTTCGGCGTGTTGCGATGGACTGAGGGACGGCAGGTGAGCGCGGCGCGCGGAGGGCGTTGGGGCGGGCCTACCTGTCGCACCTGGGCGCATGCGTGCCTCCAGCACGGCCTCCACGCGGCTTGGTGGCTTCGCCACCGCTATGCCTCTATCTCCGTGTCTAGGCTTACCTTAGGGTTAGCTCCGCATCTAGGTTTGGATTTTGCTCCGAGCCTGTGACCTATATTTTTATTACATATACATAACGAGAACTTAGTAGTTCAAAAGTTAGAATTTTTTTTGTATAGAAATATATATTTTTTTTACAAAGTTTAGTTTTTCATAAATCAAGCAGTTTTTACAGCCACAATATTTATCTGATTAGGAAGTAGGTATATAAAAATGTATACAATCTGACATTTAACTGCGGATTACAAAAAGAAAAAGTATAAAAATATTCATATTGTCAAGGAGCTTTGAATATTAAAGGTTCATCTTGTTAGTATTAGTGGTTTCATAAACGAAATATCAGTCAAACGAAGCGATTTTTGTTTGAATTCGGTTTCCAATAATCAAATAAAGACGACTCTAATGAGACGAAATATTTGTGAAGATCAATAAATACGGATCGTTTATGGACATCGGGTACTATTAATCTGGATAACAAAAGCCTTTTAAAGTTTTTCGCTAAGAGAAATAGAACATACATTATGATGGTTTGTTGCTGATGTTTGGATATGTATGTATTACTATATTATTATTTGATTTAAATTGTGTAATATTTCTAAAGCAAGACATTTTTTAATTAGAATATTTAATAGAAAGCATGTATTTTACGTAAATCACGTAATTTTTTAATTTAAAAAACGCTTTTCATATTAATTCCGACCACTTCAATAACAGATCGTACTCGTATATAATCGGAAAATCGAAAATATTGACGAACACATAAACATAATGTACTAATTATACAACTGATCATTTGTTATAATAATGTACAAGGCCCTTTTTATTTTTCAGTTCGCGACTTACATAACTAAATATGTATTTTATAATTTAACTTTCAATTCTACAATATGCAATTTCCGTTTTCCATAAATTTAATAAGTCTCACTATAAACATTTGAGACGCCTTGCCTTTTGGTACACAATTACCCTAAACAATGAATTCCGCCAGTCAGAGTCTGTTTTCGATACTATTAATTAATTCTTGATACGTGTACAACGTAAGGTAATTACTGAACGTGTTTCATTAACGTGGAATTAACTAAACTTGCCATCTTGTCTAATCGAGACTGACTGCTTAATAGAAAACTATTTAATGCTATAATCTATTGAATCTATTGAGTTATGCCACAGTGTAGGATCGTTGTGTTTAGAGTATAAAAATAAATAAGAAATCAGTGTCGCTACAACTTTTTTTCAGATTTCGGTATTTCTTTGATGATCATTAGTCAATCTAATAGGCAAGTAGGTAATCAGCCTTCTGTGCCTGACACACGCTGTCAACTTTTTGGGACCTTCACCATTCGAGCGAATGTTAAATGCGCACATAGAAAGAAAGTCCATTGGTGCACAGCCGGGGACCGAATCTACGACCTCAGCCATTATGCCAACAGTAGAAGTAGTATTCAGAAGAATACGTTTTTAATTATCTCATTGATTGGCGTGGTGCGGTGGTCGGAGGATCAGTTATTATCCCACATTGCCCGCAAGATAAATATAGGTTCGATTCACAGTAATATAGTGTATTGCTACAAACAACCAGAAATACAGCTTGATGCCCTATGGGGGTCAACGTATAGTTTTGTTACTTTGAAAAGCCAGGAGGAGAATGTTTGATATGGTTTTTTTTATTTTTAAACATCTCGGTCACCCAGGTAATATTTATTTACTTATACCTACCTAAGCCATTTCTTAACGTGCGTTAGCCAATTATATTGCATTATTTTATAGCACAAACTAGCTGCATTCGTAAATAAAACTGGAAATGTGATTTAAAACAGTAAAATTTTATAACATATTAACAAATATATACTATATTTAATATGTATATTCGGCTAAAGTTGTAGTTCTTATGACTAAAGCACTTCTAACACAAGGTTACAAGACACTGTCTACCTATTACGTCATGTCTATGACAAGTTGGACATGCGAATTCCAAATTCAAATACTCGCCCGTTTGGGCCCCGGTCAACGCCCTGCGTGTGCGCCGCCAAGCCGTCTACGGACTTACGTAACGTGACCTTAACATTGGGCGGTGCCTTACTACGAAGCCTTGTGATAGAAAGTATGTATCTCTAAAATGGTTTTCATGGTTATGATTTTTTTTGCATGTATACAAAGAAAATAAGTACAGGAAAATCAGCTAAGAGGAAGCATCCTAAAGCATGATACTTGTGTGTAAAATCACAAAAAGTGTAAGTAATATTATAATTTTTTTTAATAAACCAGGGCATATATAAAACATAAACATTTCTTCAAATATTTTTTTTTTTAATTATTATTAATTTGTATTTACAAACAATTCTACTAATAAGTTATCTATAACTAAGTATTTTGGAGAATTACATTTCGATACATCCATCATTTTAATATAATCAATACATTAAAAGTATGTTTCTGTTATAATCTACAGTTTATATTAGACTTGTAGGCGTATTTAAAGTGTAGGAATTTTCATAATATTTAAGACTATAGCTTTCATTTTTAAATTCTTATCTGGGCAAAGCCAAAATTGATGCATGGCGAACCTGTTAAAAGGTCTAACTAGTACTACAAGATTGCAGAAACTGTCGAACAGAGTGTATTTGATCAATACATTTGTTATTCGTGGATGAATGCGTAAACAAACAATGACGTAAGTCAAAAATTCAAAATAACGGTTGGAAGAAAACATACACATCATGTAAATTGCAATGAAAAATCGCAAAAAGTCGCAACACGCTCCGTGCCGTTACGATGGTTGATCATGGCATTTACGCTTTGTTGAACTTTCCATATACAGCATGCACTTTTTCTATTTAATCTTACATCCAATGAAACATGCACTGTAATAATTACAACTAAGGCCGGCTATACCCGAGTTATATTTCAAATTACAGCTTTAAAAACTCTAAAATAGATCAGTGTTGGTCTAGTGGCTTCAGCGTGTGACTCTCATCCCTGAGGTTGTAGGTTCGATCCCCGGCTGTGCACTAATGGACTTTCTTTTTATGTGCGTATTTTACATTAGCTCAAACGGTGAAGGAAAACATCGTGAGGAAACCGGTTTGCCTTAGACACAAAAAGTCGACGGTTTAGTGTGTCTGGGACAGGAGGCTGATCAGCTACATGCCTATTGGATTGAGATTGAAATCTGAGGCACGGACCTAAATTTACTGTATAGAAAATATATCAAACATATTCTGCGACATAACACCTGTTTAAGTTAGACAATCTATGTTTATATATATGTATATATATATAAACTATATGTAAACGATGAACTCCTCTATAGTTTTGTTCAAATGGGATTTAAAAGTTTTGTTGATTCTGATTAGATTCAAGTGCAGTGAGACAGCAGTACTGAAACGAACTTTAAAGTGACTTGCAAATAATTGATACAAATCCACGCTAAAAGCTCTAAGCTCTCAAAGTCAAAACGTATATGGTACGCCTTCATCTAAATAACAAGTTATGCATTACAACGGTTACGTCTCGCTCTATGCACAGAGATTCGCTAAGTTCAAGTAAAGCAGGTGAGACGTACACTTGTTAATACTATAACAAAGTTTATTCAACCTGCAACAAATATATAACAATAATCCTACAGCAATGATAATATTAATCTTTTTAATCCTGTACTTTTGACATTATAGAAACCGATATGATATTTTGCACTATGACAAACTGCGGATACAAGTCAAACGTCAAAAATCATTTATTAATGTAGGTAACACTATGTACACTTATGAACGTCAAAAAGAAATATACATTAAATGCTTTTAATTTTAAATTTACTGCCAGATCTCAAATCAAGGGCGTAGAACGGAAGAGAAGTACTGGCAATAAACTCTCCGCCACTCTTTTTAATTGCCATAGATAGAGGTGGTGTGACGGCAGTAAGTTTTAGGGATTTTTAAGACAGGCACGAACTTCAGTAATAAAGAATACGAAGAAGATGATATGGAATCTTAATACAGGCTAATATAATAGTTAACCAAGAAAAGAAAGTTAACGATGTAATGATTTTGATCTGATTATACAAATACACTAGACAGTATAAATGTAATCCTGCTTGTCTTTTTTTGGCCCTTAGACTTATTTTTGATTAATTGATTACCCTCTAGGGCGGTATCATCACTTTGATATAAAAAAATATTGCTTATAATATTTAAAAACATTCTTGCTAGCTAATAAACACTTTCGTTTGTAAAATTTAAACTTTGCATTAACTTTTTAAATCAATTTTGATTAAAAGGATTACCAGAAAACTCAATTGTCGGAGCCGTTATTTCTAATTGACCTTAATATTGCAATGGAACGGATTTATCTGTCAAATAAATCTTCATAGATTTTATAACTGTAAATAAGAATTAAAATACATATTTACACATTATGAGAAAGTTTTTGTTCAAAAACAGTTTCCGAACATAGACGCACATTTGGTGCGTTGTACTGTGCTAATTAAGCTAGCCTAGCTAGGGCTGAGCACTTCGCAGGCTTCACGGAGCGACCTCACTGCTTCGAGGATTTCTGCTCGTTGGGAAGCCGCAGCCACGCCAGGGCTACGTGAATGATTCTTCTGCGCTGAAACAGCTTCTGCACAAGGGACTGTGTGTCGCGTCAAGTACGTTGGTAGTAGTAGTAGTATATATAGCCAAGTAGTTAACGCACAATGCGTTGGTGCCACTTAGCGCGAACAGCGAAGTACACGCAGATGTGTTAGCGTTGACGATACTTCCTCTCATATATTTTGCATTGAATTATTTTTGCATTCTTTTCTAATAACAATTTAACAATAATAAATATTTTTTCACTTTTTATTACTATAACTTTGCATTATTGTATTTGCATGTTGTAAATTATTATGAATATAAGTGTTTTGTGGCTAATAAAGTTTCCTTTCTAAC